TACGTTAACTTCAAAGAAAACAATACAAAAGAATTACTATCCTCTTCAAATTATCAGGCCCATGGATGTGTTTTGAATAACTCGAGGCATAGTTGTCATGGGAGCCCAAAACTGTTGTTAAATTCCAAGGTGTTGCACCAATAAAGTAGAGCCGATGTTGATGTTCTGAACTAGTTTGAATCGATTCTGAGTGAATTATGAATTTTTTAATTCTCTGTAAACATAGCAAAAAGGTTATTCCACTTAATCTACGTTATTAAACTTACTAGGTTTTTGCATTTTCTTCGGAAAACTAGCATTGCCACAAGAGTCAGAGTGGTCGGTAACGTATGTTTGCATTCGTTAGCGAGTTTCCCAGACTGAGAAAAAGAAATTTTTTCTAAAGCATTCCGATTCAAAAGTAATCGCGTACCAGATAATCGGCCATGGAGAAGAGAAAAATGCGTTCCCTTTAGGCATTTTGTCGACGAAAAAGTTTTGATAAGTTTAATGCGTTTTTCTTGTTGATGATTTCTACATACGTGTACGTCTCCTCTCTCTTCTTCATTCGATCGGATTTTCTTTGAATTCGATTCATATTACATTCCTTCTTTTTCTTTCTGACATAATTCTCGTGCTTTTTTACAGTTTGATATCATTTTTTAGAATAAATGTCTGTGTAATAATGATAAGAACAAATAATGAAGAACACTGATTCCATGTATATTTGCTCAAGAGAGTGAAAATGTTTTTTCGTTGCCGCTTTTCCTACACGCAACGGCCTGGCGCTCATTTCATGATAAACACAATGCCTAAAGGGAACGCATTTTCCAAAGATGTGAAAGAGGTAATGTTTCGAGTAATAAATTTTGTTTCTAATGAAAAAAATGACCCATCGATTCCGCTGAATAACGTCACTGAACGTCTACAAATGATGCTCTGTGTTTCACACAGTACCATATTCAATTTGAAAAAGAAATCAAAGATATTGAGGAACAAACACTCAACGCAGCTACAAAAAAACTTCGGTCATCACCGACGATAACAACAACTGATAGTTTTTCTACATCTCAACTTGAGACTCCGATGCCACCTTCTCCAACGAAAAAAGCTCATTCCGGTCGGCATGAAATCCGCCGGTCAGAATATGTCCAAGATATGATTAGATATCATTCCCATCTATTGCTCGCTGAGAAGGACTGTTCAAGATTGGAGAAACTATTGGGACGATTGCGAGCTGATGTTTCTGATTTTCCGATCCATAGCAGACCAACTTTACCAAAAAATATAAAGTTGGTCCGCTATGGAACTAATCATTTTACTCTTACGGATGTTACGACATTATCTCAAGCATGCATGGCTGCATGTTCCACAGAATTGGTAGGGCGTTTTATACAGCATACACAAAGTTATGAGGAAACATTCAAAGCAGCAGATAAGGTAGCTGAAGAAATGGACAAAAACATAACAGAAGATGATTTAGAATATGACACAGCTGGATAACAGTTTTGTTTCATTCATGTTTATGTAACATTATACTGATTTGAAATAAAATGTAGTTTTAAGGTAGTACAGTAGTTATAACAGCATAAGTTGGGTACAAGTTCCGATAGTTCATATGTAAGAACGTTTCTAAATCGTTAAGCAGAGACCGACACGAGACTCAGCGTGGTCGATACCCCTGTCTAGAGTAATTTCTGAGGTTTCCACATGACTCGTTTACACTTCTCAGTGGGACTACTTATAACTTTTGAAGTACAGAACTGATTTCTTTCAAAACTTAGTATGATACATTACTACTGTAGTAGAACAAAGTTACGATGAGAAACTGAATATTCGAAACTCCTAGAGGTTTTTCGAACGATTTCAAGGAGATCTTCAGAAAACCTGTTTTGATAATCTGAGGTTCGAAGTTTGAACAAACTGATTTTTTTCATGGGTAGATAGCCTAGAGTGTCCTCTTTAACGTGAGAATTCTCCGACCTCTTCATTCTTCATCGTTTAGGTGTAGCATCGGATTTCCTAGGAGTCCTAGGATCGGTTTTTGATGACTATTGGCAACCTCAGAAATGGATGGAAACATAGATCATCGACTATGCTGAATTTCGTGACAATGTTTGTTTTTGGAAAAAGCCTCAAGAACTTAGTGAAAGCCTGTATTAGGTGAGATAACCCATTTTTGACTATTTTCTTCGAAAATCCATAATTCGCTCAAAATCTATCCAAACTACTTCATAGTGTCAAGATATACCCTATTCTAGCTGCGCTATACCCTGGAATCCAATAAAAGTTTTAAAATCCACTAGAACGTATCTGGGTTTTTGAAAACGTTTTCTAGAAATCTTTGGAAGTAAACGAAGTTTTTTGTGGTCTTAGGCACAGAATCAGGTTGAACAGATAAATTAGAGTGTATCTTGACACTATGAAGTAGTTTGGATAGATTTTGAGCGAATTATGGATTTTCGAAGAAAATAGCCAA